AAACACCATAATCGGCGGCGTTGTGAGAGGCACTGACGCCACCGCTACCGTCGCCGATTGTGAAGAGGTCGAAGTCATATTTCCGAGCCGGCCTGGAACCGTTAACAGATTCAGCTCGAATCACGTTACGAAATCAGCAGCGGCTGCAATAAGTTTGGCTCAGAGTAGAAGAGCGAGAATTGCAGTTTCTGAAGATTAAGGAGTGAGACGAAGAAAGTGAGTGAATTGGGGATTTCTTGTTTTTGAGGGTATGGGAAGAGAGGTTTGGCTTGCTCAAATTTGTCGCCATTAAAGTTCTATTAAGCTTTGGTTATGTGCTGTGTGTTTCTTCTGTCCAACAAGCCATAAATAGAAATTTCATTTATGTAAAAATTCTTGAACAAGACTACTTATACATCCAAATTTGTACACTTTTGCACCAATGAAAACCCGTCAACATTGTTTTTGTCAAATGGGTGGACACCAAATTCTCGCAAAACATTCATATCATTTTTGTCTTTATTGGAAATAAACTTCTTTTGTCAAAAAAAATTGGGGAGGGAGTTTTAAGCCTTTCAAAAATATGCAGATTATACACAAATCTTTAAATTTAGCAGCATAGGTCCTAAACCTTTCAAAATTTTAATGTGTAATGACCTTATCCATCCAAAAATTCATTAGTTGACTAAAAGTAGTATTTGACAATAATTTGAACAAATTTAAAAAAGACAAAATTATTTCTTAATCTTAAATAATTTAAAAAAGAAAATTTGCTTTGGAGGTCTCAAATATTTCAAAAATATACAACATGGTCCCAAATCTTTAACAAATGTGCATTCAAAGGATCTCTAACAATTTCCATAAAAGGAAAAAATCTTTTAGTTAACCAAAAATATATATCTTCCTCAATCCACCAAACCGCAAACCCTTTACCATCATGGAACATACCTCATCTATTTTGACTGGTAAGCTTCACAACAGTTATCGTCGCCTGAACTACAGCCACATCAGCATCAGCCAACACCATTGACCCCATTTTCCCATCTCATTAAATACATTTCCTCATAATAAGAACCTTCGAAAAATTGAGAAGAAATAAATAAATTCTCTTCAAAATCAATAGTAGCAATAATAGACCCTCCACCTAACAAAGGATGGGTTGTGTGGTTAGGAGTTGCGGTTGGGTGAATCGAGGAAGAGAAATATTTCTTGTCAACTAACAGATTTTTGAATAAAAATCGTTAGGTGTCCCTCCTTTGCCCATATATTAAATGCTTGGGGGTTGTGCCTTATACTTTTGAAGTGTTGAGACATTCAATTCAAGATTTTCTTTTTTTTTTAATTAATTAAGTTCTTGTTTGATTCCTATTATTTTCAAAATATATTTTTTTCTCTCTTCTTTTCAACTACACATTTTTCAATAAAATAATATTACACGCAAATACAAAAACTTTTTTCTTATTTTCTAATCACACATTTTCCATCAATCTACTATTCCAAAATGCATTCTTACAAAAAAAAATGGCTTAAACAACCTATAAATGTTAAAAGTAGGGGTGGACACAATTCAGTTTGAACTGTTTGTGTCATATTTTCAACTCAAAGGAAACATTGGGTGCACGGAAGAAGGTGATTGCTTCATCAACAATATGAGTGCTATATGCATAAAATTTATATCATTTTCAGTACATAGTATATCTTTCTTAAAATTGGACACTGTGGGGGCAAGTTGACCTTGTTTTGAAACTGCAGCAAGTCCTTTTATGTAGCTTTTAAGGGGAAGTAGGAGGAACTGAAAAATAAAAAATAAAAAATGGGTTCAGTTTTGTGCGGTTTTTTAAAATCAAAATCTAAACCAAACCATTTTAAAATAGTTTGATTCGGTTTAAGGGAAAAACTCATAGGTCTACGTGGACCCGAACCAATAGTTTCAAACCAACAGGTTCAGTTCGATTTGCGGTTCCGCGATTTTTTTGTACAATCATTTGCCCTTCTTAAAATTAGTCAAATTATGGTCAAGACCTGACTTTTGGTCAACTGAAGAACTTTTGAATGCAAATTGTCCATATGTCCTTCCGTCGTACAATTTTGAAAGGGTTGGGATCTCCGTTGCTAAGATTTAAAGGTTTGGTGTAATATGCACATTTTTGAAAGTTGAGAACCTCTTTTGTAATTTCCCAAAAATTATTAATATCTATGTCACCATCTATCGTATTCCTATTTTGTCACCTCACTAGTTTGAGTCGAATCAACTTTTATTTGTTGTGTTGATACGTTTTATCATTTCTTCTCATATTTTACTTTTTAATAAGATATTATCAAAAAAGTAATATCTATTAGTATGTAAAATTGAATAACTAAAAAAGAAGGGTAAAATTGAATAACTAAAAAAGTTGAAAATTTTTGAATTTACGTACAGAATATTTTATTGTGTAAACTTGTGATTGAAAATGAATATATAAAAAAAAATAGTTTTGAGATAATAGTTGTCAAACGGGGGGCTAAATTATGGTATCACATAACATGAGTATCTTATGTTTGACTTCGTGCAATGGGCTTGATGTTTGTAGTGAGGTACCATTGGAATAGTTGAAGAAGATTAACGTTATTTATCACCAAAATATAAATAGAAAATGTTTTGATTATAAAATATCATATTTGTCTTCATGAAAAAAATATCGAAGTCACCCTCCGTCTTACTCCTATTTTGCCACGTCACTAGGTCAAGTTGTGTCTCTTTGTATTTTATGTTGATATATTTTAACACTTCGTTTCATTTTTTTGTTTTTTTAATATGATGTAATAATAATTAAAAAAAATTAATACACAATCCGAATAACTAAAAAAGCAGAGTAGAACCTCAATGTGCATTCTTGAATACATGAAGCAAAACATTGAGGGTTGTTTTCATGGCCTCTTCTATCTAATTGAGTCTTGTGGTTATGACTTGCTACAAAGTGAAACTAGAGAATGAAGAATGTTTGCTATCGGAGAGGCATACCGGAAAAAAGAAATTGATCTATGTGCATCGAATTCTTTCGAGAGATAGGAGTATTATATTGAATGCAAAATTGCTTGTTGCAACTAAATCAACCCACAATGATTGATTTTGAAAAAAACAAAAAAAGATTCGACTTATATGGAAAAAGTTAAATTAAAAAATGCTTAACTCATGTCGATTCCACAAGTATATTTCACTCAATTGCGTTACTGACTATTACTGAAATGGTATTTTTCCTTCCTCCAGTATTCTTCAGCAATCTACCTTATTAGGCTGGTCAGCCATGTAACCTCTTCCTGGAGAAGGAGCTGTGGCAAATTGAAATTGCCATTAAATAGCAATTAAAGTGCTTATTAGAATTGATTTTCCAAATACGACATTTTACTAGATCAAGTACACACAATAATTATTTTGCCTTGAACGAAATAAAAGGAAAAATGTGTCTAATATTTGAGAGGTTCACTTGAAAATGTCAAAGGAGATTCACCCGATATTCTTGAATGCTTGCATTCTCTGCACATGAATCTTGTGTTGTGGCACAGAGAAAGAAAGTGCTACTAGAATATGCCCATAACAACATCTAAACCAACGGCGGGCACATCTAGCAGACACGTTCAATGCGCGATCACACCATAATTATACCATAAGATGGCCCTAATTGCAAGAAGGGGAACTAGAGAAGCACAATAAAGCAGCAGTTTAGAGGTTCAGACAAGAATCAACATAGTATTACAAAAAAATATTATAAAACTTCATGGTCAAAGGGACAGCCCTGAATCATCATCCTCATCAAGAGTGGAAGTGTAGACAGTATAAAGAGCCCAAATCAAAGCAAACACACCCAAAAGGATCCAACCAAGGAGGTTATTGCTCAAGCCAAAAGGGAGGCCAGTTCCCTCTGTGCTCATTCTCTCATCCACCAGAGCCATGGCCGGACCAGACATGGTGGCGGCGCAGGCGGCAGCTGCCATTAAAGACGCTCCCATACCTAACTTTGAGTCAATCTCTTGAGGCTTCCCCTCCATGGAGCATCTCACTTTTCCCATCTCTGCCATTGATGGCAACACTGTGACCAATTTTAAAATGACGATACAAGAAAATCATATTTTGTACAAATTGACTAATGGAATGAAGGGTTCAATGTTTAAGCACATCATCTATGAAACATAACTACTTGGAATTATATTACCTGTCTAATACATTTAGGACATATTTGGTACATACTACTTAAGAAGGTTAGTACTATATAGTCCACCTTAACCAAACGAGCCAATATGACGAGTTTAACATATTAGATTGGAAAGTGCTAATGTACTGTAAAATAAAATCGTGGAAGGGATTCTCACCAAGAACGGATGAGTGCCTCGCAACAGATGCCTTTAGCATGAGGGCGGCACCTGCAAGAGACGAGGTTGCAGTGCAAGCAGAAATGGTGGCCATTTTACTCAACTGGGAATTGAATGAAATGATCAGCTCTCAGCACCACCGCGAGAAGGAGTATCAGTTTGTTTTGACGAAAGGCAAAAACATTAATATTGTTCGATCAAAATGAGTACAAGGAAACCACGTGGCTTGGATAAATAGATAGCCTTCTCATCTGTAAGAACCCAACCAGGTTTTGCCACGTGTAATTTCATCTCTAAAACAACCACTATTTGTTCTCAAATGGGTCCCTTACAGAATAATCAAAAGATTCGAAACAAATATTCAGATTATGTACAATAAAATCTGCTGGGCTGAAACTTGGAAGTCTTGCATTTGATATTAGCAGTTCAAAAAGAGTATTATGTACAAATTATCCTGGTATTGAACTGGCAGACGAGACTGGCCGATTCTTGGCCTCTATTATTGCTAAAGTGAACTCAGTTTCTAAACACTTTTGGCCTGATATTAAAAAAATTGCGAAGGAAAAAAAGGATAGTCAAAATTTACAACTAAAATTTGTGGAAGAACGGAAAAGAATCGATAGAACGTGTGAGGAACCTATGCCAGATTTGAAACTTCTCGTGTGGGGATCTAACTACATGTGGATATTGCACTGCTGTAGGAATGGATGGTCGTACTTGACATGTTTCCTCCAATAGCATTTGTACTTCTCAAGCCCAATATCCAACCATGGTTTCAAGATTCCATCGAAATGTATCACTGCTGCCTTTCCTATGTCGTCCGGACTTGCACCCGAGTCATAACCCAAACCAAGGGCATGCCATCTCTTATCTAAAGGTACTGTATGTTTGTAGAATGTGATCCAACCGATAGGCAAGCTACCGGCTTTCCACAATGGCCTCTCGTTTCCCTGCATAGTCCAAGAAAAAGTAAGCATTAAGACAGTAAGAAATGCAAACCAGAGTTAACCATTTCAATAGATTCTGATTAATGTTGATGACCGTGGACAAATATAACTAGTGCAAACACGCGAAAAAGATTCGTGAAAACAATTGCAAATGTTAAATGGAGGGATTGGGTTAATTTGACGTGAATACCTGGATTCTATGAAAATTAACATTTTCCATTGCTGAATTTTCAAGGGGATCGAAGAAATTCGTCTTTAACTATGAGTTTTACTTGGAACAAAGTTACTAATCAATATGATCCTTTAAGCACGAAAATGCTATTGCAATAAGTCATTACAAAGGCCCCAACAGAGAAATATGTTCCAATACAAGGCACCTGATTGGCCTCCTATACAATTTACCTATTCTACAAGGACCCAGAAGGAGGAGGGAATAGCTGACTGGGAAGTAACAGAATCTGTTAGTGAAGGGATGATTGGACTTAATCAGCCCAAATCAGCTTCACTTGTTCACCAGCAACACCAGCAGCAACACAGCAGAATTCAACAGCACGTTCAACAAGCCTCTTCTTCCAGATCCTTCTATTCTCCAAATCACGTCCAGCAATGAATACTATTCTCGATCCTTCATTAGTTAGTTAGTTTGTTAGATTTTCTCTATAAATAGAGCTCTTGTATGCATTGTAATTCTCAAGTTGAATAAATGGATATTCATCCTCTTCCCCGCCTTACTACAGCAGGCTCTATCCTTTTCTCTGTCTGTTTATTTTCGTCCTTTAATTTCAGCTCAAATCTCCTATCCCTCCTTGATTTTATCATGGTATCAAAGCAGGTTCTGATCCTTTCATCTGCAATTCATCTTCTTCTTTATCATTTCTAAATTGAATCTATATAAAAAAAAAAAATTCCCAAAATCAGCAACACGGAATTACCAGAAAACAGGAAAGTGGCTTGGCTCACTAAATGCTCGACGAAATGTCGGAACAAACATGACTGAAAATTCCCGATCAGACTCTCGATCAAAGGGAATCAAAACCAAACTGAAGCCAGAAATTGAAGATAGAAGGCTTCTCAGGAACTGCATTCCTCACCGGAGCCCCGTTTTGCAGAGGAGTTTCCACATTGTTTGCAGTGGTTTTTGGGGCAGGAACTCTTGGAGCAGGAGCTTCACCTACTCCAAAAAGGTAACCAAGAGAACTCTCCCCACCACCGCTGCTAACTCCACGACCCATTTTGACTCAAATTCTTATATTCAACTTTTGGAACTACACCAAATTCAGTGTTCTTAGAGGTTAGATTTTCACAAAATGAGTGATTCATTCCCAGATAGGGAATCAAAACAAAACTGAAATGAAATTGAAGATGGATCAAATCTTCACAAAATGGTTGATTTATTCCCAGATAGGGAATCGAAACGAAACTAAAACGAAATTGAAGAAAGAACCTGCTGGAATGGCAGGCTTCTCAAACTGATTTTATCTTCTGAAACTGATGAAAGTGATGAAGATTTTTGAAGATATTCATTATCAAAAGAGAAGGAAGATAAACCATGATCAAAGGTAGACGAAGTGTTTGTGATGAAGAAAACTGAAATTAATTCGAAACAAAATGCTCCTTGATTGCAAAAGAGAAGGAAGATAAACCATGATCAAAGGTAGACGAAGTGTTTGTGATGAAGAAAACTGAAATTAATTCGAAACAAGATGCTCCTTGATTGCATCTCTACTCTTCTTCTGTAAGGTTCAAGATGTTCCATCTTGAGGGGGAGCGTTGGAATATTCTCCAGCCCAAATCAGCTTCACTTGTTCACCAGCAACACACGTGCAGATTCAGATCAAATCACCAGCAGCAACACAGCAGAATTCAACAGCACGTTCAACAAGCCTCTTCTTCCAGATCCTTCTATTCTCCAACTCACGTCCAGCAATGAATACTATTCTAGATCCTTCATATCAGCATGCAGTTCTTCTTTCTTCCAGATTCTTCTATCACATGGCCAAGAGATTCTTTTTCTAGATCCTTCATTAGTTAGTTAGTTTGTTAGATTTTCTCTATAAATAGAGCTCTTGTATGCATTGTAATTCTCAAGTTGAATGAATGGATATTTTCATCCTCTTCCCTGCCTTACTACAGCATGCTCTATCCTTCTCTCTGCCTGTTTATTTTCGTCCTTTAATTTCAGCTCAAATCTCCTATCCCTCCTTGATTTTATCAGAGATCTATAAATAGAAGTAGAGGGAACTGGAAAGGTAGGTAGAAATTGGGTAGTATCTTGGAAGAGTAGTGGACCTCTTGCATGTCCATTTATCTTTATCTTTTCCTCATTGTTGCTGGAATAACAGAAATAGTCTTATAGAGTGTTGTTGTCTTCATCCATTGGCGTTTATACAATTACAGTAGCACAATATTATTGAAACCAAATCCATATTCCATTTCACAGCGTCTTGTTCAGTTTTTAACTTAAATACAGTCTTTAATTCTGGGGAGTTCTTTCTTGCAACAGGTTCCTATGAGCACCCTAAGTACAAGAATAGATACCGGGGACTTTCTGAATCTGAAGTCAAATCTTTCCAAGGTAACATAAAACAATCATACACGAAAATGCTTAATTAACCACACGAACTTAAAGCAATAAAAATTAGTTAAGATATAATTCCTTACCAAATGGAGGTATTTATGATAGACCCCAGTTAAATCATGTCTCCTCCATTCTTGAAGATCGAACACATTCATCCCAAAAGCCCATGTGCATGCTGTGGCATCGAACCTCTCTGCTACCATAGGGTCTGTGAAATTAACAAACATGTCCATACGACGGAATGAAGGCTTGCCTTCATTGCAAGTCTCAACAGCACCATTTACTTTGCCTTTCATGTCAATGCTCCAAAGTCCTGCCAGATCCCTTTGCACCACCACATCATGGTCGAGAAGCACAATCTTATTCAGAAGGGGAAAAACATCTGGCAAATAAAAACGAAGATGGTTGAGTACAGAAATATATCTTGGATCGACAGAGTCTTCTTTCTGCAGAGTTGCATTATATCCGATGGATAACCATCCAAAATTGTCTATGCTTTCAATATCGATTGTAGCTTTTCCAGGAGGATTCAGTAAGAACCACATCGACATTGCTGGGAAGTTGAGGGAATCCGTCACTATATGAAATACTACTCTCTCTGGATCCTGTCAAGTAAAGAATCGGTCAGTATGATTAAGAATAACACTTCAATGCAAATTCCTTTTCTCCCAAAAATAAGCACAGGTCTCGGTCATCTTCAAATGTCATTTCTGACCACCCTCTTTTCTTCCTCTTAAAGATAATGCACAATAGAGTGATGGAATAGGTCTAAGCCAAGATATTAAATTCCAAGAACAATTAAATTCATAATTTAACTCCTCTTAAGAAAAAAATTCACTTTCCTATCAGTTAGATTGCGTAAGACAGGTTAGCCAGTCCAAAAAAGAGAGAGGATTGATGAGATTTCTTTGTTTCTTTTTTTTTTTTTTCTTTCTTTCTTTCAGTGAGGAAGTGTCCCCAACATAGAGAGTAAGAAAAGCGGCTAATCATCTCTCATCCTATCAAAATGATTTAGTAGCACGAAACTATAACTTTCTGAGTTGCATTTGCGTTACCCTTTTCCTATACTACATACTAATACTAGACTATATCTACAATGATGAGATATGCTTTTCAGATTAAGATAAGTCCTCTTAGCTCTTTTAAAGCATGTGAATTAATAATTGAAGCCACGATGGAAAACAATTGTGGCTGTCCTGAAGGCAAAATAACTCAGCAGCAATAGCAAAATGGCTCATAATAGAATTCATTTAACTAATGTTCATCCATCCCCATGAACTTTTTTGTCTCTCTGGCACCATGTATTCCTTGTTGAATCACATATATAAAACTAAAAAAAGTTGTTAACTGGGGAAGAACGTGGCAACTTACCGTAGCAGTTGATATGGTTGAGTTCACAACAACTGAAGAAGCCAAAATGTTGTCAGAGAAAACAGCAAAGTGATGAAGATCTGGATCATGTACTTTGTGTTTGTTAGGGAATTCCCATTTCTCAGTCTCTCGGGCAAAGTATTCAGCAGTCAATCTCATAGAGAGGCAATGCAAGCCTTTTGGTATAGTTCTTCCACCAAGTTCTTTAAGAAAAGTTTCTTGTTTCGTCTGCTTTCGAACCTGCTCTTCAGTGTTATATGTCATTGCACGAAGTATTTTCACCATGCCAGAGCAGTCAGGGTAAATACGACTGGCTTTTAACAAGGTGGACTCCATAGCTTTCATTTTCTGCAGAGAACTGAAAATTTCACTGGTTTATATTTCATATGCAACTTTACTGAATTCTCGAAGAATAAGTCGATAGCCCCACTATAATTTAAAATTGACATTATACAAAAACCTTAACAAACTCAGCCTTATTCCTAAATTTGGAGAGTGCACAGGAATCGTTTTGACCACTATCTTTGATCTATAACTATATTATAATGGAACCGCATTGATGTTTGAACATGTATAATTTGTATTGAATGCATTGATGACTAGTAACTATTATGAGTCAGTTCAACCGCCTTCAGCCAAACAAGTATTTCATATGCTTGGGTCAGTGTAAATTTATCATCAGTTATAGAGTTCCTGTCCAAGGAAACGCAGGGAAAAAAAGAAAAAAAAGAAAGAAAGAAAGAAAAGTAAGTGTGTCAATAGCATCAATAAGATGAGTTTTTAAATACAGAAGCAATTTGCAGACCCAGTGAGCAAGCGACAATTATGGCCTTGCATTACTAGGACACGCTTATAGAAGGAAGGAAGAAAGAAAGAAAAAAATACAGGAATATATAATTTTAACAATGAGGCTCTAGGTAACTTGATCCTAAACAACCCAAAGTAAATGATATGCAATTACTGAAAATTTTCTAAATGAAAAATGATCCTTCAGTCAGTCAAAAACTAAATGTTTGTTCGGCACAACTTATTTGAAAACCATGTATCCTCAAACTCATTTTCAATTATACATTCTTTCAAAAAAAGTAATTTACACGTGGATCCATAACCTTTTTCCACTTTTTACCCACGTTCTCTCCTAAACAAACACAAGTTAAAAAACCTTTGTAGTCACACATCGAAGTCCACGAGTAAAAAATTTTGTTCACAAATAAAATACCATTGCTATAAATGTACATTGTAAACACTACTGGTTCTATCTAAGTTAGAATATTTTGATCTTCAATCAAAATCAATTTGCATTCCCTATACACATTCCCTATGAAGGTCTTCATAATTCATCTTCAAGTTCCAACAGAGAACATATAAAAAAATATAGCAAATAAGAAATATTAGGAGGAAAAGAAAAAGTTATACCCCTTAGACACATGAGAATCTCTGGTGGATTGTATCATAGCTCTTTCAACCTCTTTTATTCTTAGCTTCAACTCTTTTACAATATGAGAGCTGCTATTTGCAGGCGAGAAATTTAGGTAAGCTTTGGCCCTGATCACTTGGTCTTTCATTTCTTTCACCTTCTCATCTATCTTCCGTGAAGTAGACTTTACAGCGTGATCACTTTGAACCACATTTGGGTGCGAGTCTTCCTGCCATGGAATCCAAAACAAATTTGTGAGGGACAAATGGCTTGAGTTTCCATGCACAATCACCAAATAAATAGTTATAGACAACAGAACAAGAATAGAGTGAAGCTTACATATAAAATGAAGAAAAAATAGTTTCAGCATCATCATTTAATATAGGGCACATTATGCAAACTCCTTGATAAAGTTCCATTGAGTAAAAATGAGTGAAACAAGATTGGAAACAAATGAGGAACAGAGGACTCTTGCAAATGTAAATATAAAAAATATTTCTACTTCTTTCTAAATAGAAAATTTCAGATATCACTCCCATTTAAAGCCCATACTATTCAATTTCTTTCCAGTTTGAATGTCTGTTTTCATCTGAGTTAGAGTTTTACTTCAAGACAAGACAGAACATAGAATTTTGAGTCAACACGTGTTCTCAACTCTCTCTCTCTCTCTCATTTTCAACTCACAAAGACAGAGGAAAAGAGAAGCACGTTAGAATTTTCTAGTTCATACATAACTGGCTTCCAAAGTAATAACTTCAGCAGTCACATATACAACTGAATTAGAAGAATGCAAACAGTGTACATCACCAAATCAAATATTTAAACTCACAATAAGCAACATATGCTGCTAGAGACAAATTCCAGAAATATTTCTAGTTGCATATTAGCCAGTGACATTGCTTTCTTTCGTTTGCCTAGCAGTATGTAACAAAAGAGGAGAAGACATGTAAACTTATTTTCATCCAAAATAGTAGCAACTTAGATCCATAGGAATATCATACCTTTTCCACAGACATCAGCAACTTATCCTCCTGCAGACTTATGCGGTCATCTTCCCTTGCTCCATCATCGGTTGCTGAACTTGAAGCAAGAGCCAAACCATTAGAGAGAGAGAAGAAAAAAATAAACTGAAATTAAATAAGCAAAGGAGTAACATGTGATTTTGAAGCCCACCATGTTTTGCAGACAAATTAACATCATCTGCTGCATTTCCAGATTCAACAATTATATTGTCCTCCCTAGAACTAAAGCTAACTGCAGATTTGAAGCCTTCTTCTTCTTCGTACACCACCCAGACTGGTTCTTTCAAACCTTCACCTTCATCCTAAATTAGATATTGCACAAGTCTCCAAACATAAGAATCAAAATAATACTCTATGTCATCTTTTCAGAAAAATGATCTAACTAGTGAATAACCTGCTCTATTGCACCAAGTGTTTGAGCCTCTTTTCTGTGTTTCTGTACAGGAGAAAAATCCCAGCTTCAAAAAATTTTCTATTGCCAAATAATACAATGTACAAAATTAAAAGAAAATGATTACTATATCGAATTAACATACATGTACTGCATCTCATTACCACGGAAATATAGATGAAATCTACTTTAGAGAAAAGAGAACATTCAATGTAAAGTAATTAACCGAGTAATGTAAATAGTACTAAAGAATGAGATTAATACAATAATCGATAAATCTTCCAGAAATTCCTTCGAAGCTGCATCAAAGAAATGACACAATCAGATTCAAAGCAATGATTAAACTAAAAATCAAATCACAAACATTAGAAATAAAACTTACAATCAGAGCTAATAAGTTTCAGCCTGTGAGACAGTAAAAAAATGGGAACGAACACAGAAACGCCGAGCAAACAGAGGATAAAAATCCTCGTACTTCTACGAAATCCCCTCATCAATTTCTTTACACAATCTTCTTAATCAATCAACCAACCAACCAATTCCATCATTTTCTTCGGGAACAAAACTAGAAAACTGCAAAAATTTGAAAATGAATTGACATGACAAAGTGAATGCAGGTACTAGGGGTTTTCCATCAAGATCTAGAGAAAATAATCATTATTCTTGTTGAATAATTAGAAAGATGGAATAACCGAGGAAGATGGAGTGTAGAATGCGTTAAGCGCTTATTTTTTAAGTAATTGAAAAGGATTTTGATGTTCTTTTGCTTGGAGATATGAGTAGCGTTAGTAACGAGGCAATTATGGCACGACATTTTGGTTTCACGTGATGCATTAAAGTACAATGATTCCACTATCATTGTGTCGTATCTTATTCGAAATGTACAGCAAAATAAATAATAATTTATATCCATCGCATTTAGCACCTGTTTGACCATCATCATTTTCAAACTTTTTTCTACGTACTCATTTTCAACTATGCATTCAAATAGTATATCCTGCACATAAATCCAAAAGTTGGTGAACGTTGTATATCCCATGAAATGCGAGATTGAAAATAATTTTGCGGAAAAATGAATTTTAGAAATGGAGACCAAACATGGGCTATATATATTCTAATTGTAACAAGTCGTAAGGAAAAGGGTTGTCGACTTGTTGTGGGGTTCCCTCGATCTCGATTTAGATTTATTTTTATGAATTCACCTACCAAGATTTGTTCTATTAGCTTTTATATAAATGTTTTCCCTATATAGAATTTCAACTGGTGTTAAGTCGTAGTCCAAAACATAATTTGGGTACCACATTAACTTAATAAACTTAAAAGTTAGGTGAAAATCAATTTTAATTTGACGTGCTATATAATAAGTTACTACTGTATTTCAATGGCGAATTTGTATCCCTGTCCACGACATCAAAGTCAAGAGTCGAGGTGTCCGATTGAGAAAATATGTTGTTCAAACGCAAGAATTAACTTTAATTCATGCGAAGTAATCATTAAAATGTAAGAAGTTTTTAGGCAAATCCCTTGTGTCGCATTGTGACTTCGACACGATTCTTCAGGCAATTAGAATCTGACTTTTTCACCAAATTTCATGCATCGGTGGCTTATCATTGTCTCTCTGTGATGGGAATCGAATTTACAATTGTTACTTTGCATTTTTGCTTTTCCCAAAGTGCTTATAGCATCATTTTTCACTTGTATATGAACACATTAGAATTGGTTTTTTTTTTTTCCCACTTAGAAAGTCAATGTTTGTTGTGGGTGGAGCCAAGAAGAGTATAATTGGCTATTCCACATCTCGACTCGGCTTGATTTTACGAGAGCCGCTTAACCGCTAGACGGATATAACGTTCATTCATATTTTGGTTTCTCCTCTAATTTTTTTCACGATTAATTGCTCTAAGATGGATTTTATTTTATTTTCTTCTTCCTTTTAGTGCAGAGTTTGTAAACCTAGCAATAAACACAAGGATTCGGGGACCCCTCGAACAAGGGTTAGGGCAGATCGACGTTTACACCCTTGGCTTTGTAGTGTAAGTTTCAAGCACAGACCCGGTCCTGAGGCGAGGTAGATGAGGCCCGCGCCTCAGGCTCAAAGCTGGAGGGGGCCTCATTTTTTGGCCCCCAAAATTTTTTTTTCCCTGTCTGGCCCAAAAGGGCTTAAATTGTGGCCCAAATTTTTTTTAAACAAATGAAGAAGCTCAGTATCTATCTCTTCGACCTTCCCTTTCTATAGATAGACTACAATACTACCGTCTACCCCAACCGACACGCCGACGTCGTCTCCGGTCTCGTCTCTCCACTTTCCTTCCCTTTCTTTTCCTCTAGTACTGTGGGCCTGCGGTGACCGTCGACTGTGAAGTCAGTGATTGATGAATGATGAGTCCGATCCAAGTGTCTGAATCCAAACCGATGCTGATTTCTGAGCAGGTAATTTTATTTATAATGTTTTTTTTTGTTTTTCCTTAATTTTAATTTAGATAAATTCCTATTGCACAGTTCCGAGTGGTATGATGTTGTTAGTTGGTAGGAAGGAAGGAGATTGTGAATGTACTAGAAAGTGCTGGAGTGAGATTCATTAGCAATTGCTAGGAGCTTCACCTCTCTTTTCTTCTCTCCATTTAGTCCTCTCAGATGTTTCCATTAAAACTAACGTAATCAGTTTTTATTGATTTCTGTTTCTATCTTTATAAATGATTAATTTTAGTTAACAGAAATTTTCTGCTCTTTAATTGTATTTTTTGGAGCAAAATTCATGAAAGGTAATTTGTAAGTAAAAAATGAGTTGATTTGTTTTATTTTTGTTTTTTTTCGTAAGTATTCATTCAGCCTTTATTGAGTAAGAGTTGAACTTATGTTTGTTTTAATTGAAAATAGTGTCCAGCTGACAAATATAATGCATTAGTGAAATGCATTTCTAAAAGTTCGTTTCTTGATAAACGTCCGTGCCATTTTTGAATTAAACGGAAGAATTAAGAATCATGATTGGTAAAAAATTGAATTGAAATTTGAATTGAATCATATCTTGTTCCAATTCTGAAGCTCGGTTTATGTCACCAAATGTAGGAGCCAGAAAAAAATATCTTCAATGTTAAAGGAGAATGGAAACAGATATCAGTAGAGTTTACTTTTCGTTTGATGGTTCTTTTTAGTGTTTCTATAACGGTTTCAAGGTGGAAATCTGATTTTAGTTACCAGCACGTTGGTTGATCATATCAAATGCTTCAGTAATGCAGTTGATCATGAATGATTAATGTTTTTGCCTCTAAAACGGCAAGGCGAATAGTATTTAACTGATCATTTAAACTCTTGTCGGTTTTGTTACTTTATAATATAAATTTTTTGTTCTTTATATTTGTTTGTTGTTCTACTGTTCACTTTTAAGTTAGCAATACATTGCATAATACATCGTTGAATTTTGCATTTACGTTGATTCTGAGGGGCCCAATTTTCAGAGTTCGCCTCGGGCCCTAAAAATTACAGGACCGGCCTTGTTCAAGCATGCCTAATGACCCCATTGTTAATGGCTGTAGTACTTCTCACAATTCGTGGTAGCTGCAAATTTGAAAATGCTTTTGTACAAAATTTAATGATCAGTCTCTGCACAGCACAATCTATTCAAGAATGATTTTTGTGTTGACCACAAAAAATGCGCCATTAAAATCCCTGTCACTTCCCCTCCACGTGGACATCACATGCACACTGAACACCCCGTTAGAAGGCAGAGGTCGTCGATCGAGAAAAAAGTCTAGCAACCGTTTGCACTCCAACGGTTGGACGAGAGAGAGAAAGTCGGAGAGGGAATTTGAATAGGGTTAGATAACATACCTTGGTTGTGAATGAAGTCACATATATATAGAAAAACGTAAATGGACCAAGTGGTTAATAGGCCAAACCCAAGATGCAATCGATTAGTTTAATAAACCCAATCCAATGAATAGTCGACGTCACACAATTTATAAGTGTAACAACTTACTTCATCTTCATTTGTAAGATTCAATTTCTTCTTCAGGTACTTCTGGATAAAAGAAACTTGTGTACTCTCATCCCTGGGAAGAAAGAAACAGATTTGAAGTGTCAAATTTCCAGATTGAGAATGATATAATAGGTGGAGATTGTCGATGTCAAATTTCCACATCAAGTGTTTGATATAATTGAAATAGAAAGTGCAAGAGAGCTTTATTTTATAAAAGAAATCGCTGAGTGGTTGAGTGTCAAGTGCGTGAATAGTGAATTTCGTAGACTTTTAATAATTTAAATTGGGGAACTATTCTTTTTATCCACAAATTTTATAGGATTTACAACTTAAGAGCATTACTAAGCAAGAACTTATGGGAGGTGAGGACTTCTTCGGATGAAGAAGTTCCCTTTTTACAGCTTGAAGTAAGGTGGGGTGAGAACCTTTCATATCACTCCTTGCAGTGTTGAAACCAGAAATTTTATGTAGTAACGGGGTAGGGGGATGAAAATTGTTGCGTGACAAAATATACATTAAAAATATTCAAAACTCCTACATAGATTTAGAGAAAAAAATTAAAATATTGTGGGGATGGTTGCGACCCTCGTCCCCTGTCCTTCGGCTTCTGCCCCCTTGCGATGGCTAGTGATAAGTGCACTGAACTCTTTGCAGGAGGCCTCACACAATTGAGTCAACTATTAATGTAACGATCCGGCCTCTAAGTCCAAGTTGTTAACTTTCGTACTTGGTATTAAGATTCAACTGAAGTTTCTCTCAAGAGTAAGACGTGGATTCAAATTCTGGGAACGCGATAGAGATCCGTGAAGTGTAAGATGGGCTAGGCTCTTCCAGAGCGTGCAGTAGTAAGTTAACGGCTTAAGCATAGAGATCGAGTCGTTACAAAAAATGTTCATCTTTTTGTAACGTCTTGCTCAATTGATACCAGATTCAACTTAAATCTTTCTTAAGGGAAATGACATAGGTTCGAATCGTGAGGACGCGATAGAATTCCGTAACGGGTAAATTGTTATCAGGATTTAACTCAAATCTTTGTTAAGGGAAAAAGTCATGAGTTCGAATCTTGGGGACGCGATAGAATTCTATAAAAGGTAAAATGGGCTAAGACCCTCTCAGAGCGGACAATACGTAAGTTAACGATTTTGACACAGATGTCGGATCGTTACAATCATTACTTTCTCTGTGTCTTTTGCATGTACAATTGAGTGTTTGACCTCGACTTTCATTATTTAATTTCTTGAGTGTTTTAGGGCAATTAAAGGCTCGGTCTCTTGTGAGAGTTGATGAGGAAGACGCTTTATGAAAATAGGATCGTGGCCTTCTCAAGGGGTTGCAATAGTGACTGTTGCCTTGACAAGCCAAGGACCTATACTGAGAAGATTTAGTGGTCTAAGGCCATCTATCCTCGACCTCGACCCAACCTTTTGGTTACCCCGTGACTTATTTTATGTAAAAGTTTGGCCTTTAAACTCAACACAGTCTCTGCACAGAGCAATCTATTCAAGAATGATTTTCGGG